ACACCAACCCAGCACCTCCCCGAGAGCGTTGATAGAAGAAAGAGAAAGACAACGGGAAACCCACTAAAATCCATCAACACTTTTTTACAACCAAAATGGAGCAAAAAAGTGTCCAAAGGAATAAAATGGAGACTTCCAAGTACCAAGACAACTGAACAACATAGAAAGAAAAACCACCACCTGCGAAGAGAGTAAGACATACCAACTCAAGCTCACTTCATAACAAGCAACTCCAAGAAGCCCCCCCGCACTCGCACACATTAAATAAAACCACTAAGATGGACAAATTAACCAATATGACAAAGTCCACCCAAGTCATCATAAAAGCAGTCAAACACTTCATAAAGCTACCACAAAACAACAGTAACAGCCAGAGAGCAACAACAAAGACAAGACGTAATAAAGAGAGAAGATGCACCCATGAAATGACAACATACACCAGTCACATAAAATAAAGTCACACCAAATAACCAAGCTCAAAATGTTGCAAAAAAGCAACAACACCACCAAACAAGAAACAAAAAAATTAACCTGATGGGATATGAAGAAACCCAACTTTATCCAATAAAATCATACCTTTCAACTTTTTATCTAGCTCAGCATAAGAAAAAATACAGAAAGTAGGAATGCTAGCTTCCTATAATCAGCACAAGAATTGTCTTCTCTAATTAAATACAAGATCTTTTAATTGATAGAATTTAAGAGATACCTATTTTCACACAAAAGACAAAAGACAAAAGACAGGATAATTAGCAATATCATTGTTACCAAACTTTAAGCAAAATTGGTTCAAGAGTTTGTCGTCCAGTTCAAACCAACATTACAAAAATTAAGAGAAATGACTAAAATTAATCTCTCCTTTAGGGTTAAAAGCTCGGTATAAATAACAGAGGAAGTATTAATCGGACGAGCAAAAGCCCTAAAGAAAGACCACCAAAGCTTCCAGAGAGCAATTAGTTAAATCCAATGCTTTCTGAAAGTCAAAGATGCTTACAGATTAAATGGGACGAGCAAAAGCTCTAATGAAAGACCACCAAAGCTTCCAGAGAGCAATTAGTATCAAATGCTTGATGAAAGTCAAAGATGCTTACAGATTAAATGAATGACATACAACGATAGAAAATAACACAAGTCTTTCAAACCGATGTTTCTGGACTATAATTAATAATCTAAATAATAAAAAAAGTTAATTTTAGGATATTTAATTACGAAACATTTCAAATATTAAAATATAATAAAATTGCCGGCTGCTTCCTATATCCTTAACCTCTAGCAACAACGAAGACCAGGACTTCATTTCTTAACAGACGACTAAAATTTCCACAACTCTGAGCTTTGTAAGGGCCAAGGGATAATCTGAACTGTTTTAAAAATTTTTCTTTTAGCATATTCATTCAAAACGATAACCACTTTTAGCTTCGATTCAGAGACTCAGCAGCGATGGCGAATTCCCCCAAGAGGATTCTACTCACGGCGAATGGCGACGAGATTTCCGCGGGGATCGTTCGCAATCTGGCAAAGTGTGGTTGCAGGTTTGGGATAATAATCAATCGTTAATATATTTCATCATTCTTTTTTGTTTTTGGGGGAAGATTTAGCTCCCGCTTCTTTTTTTGTTTGATTTGTGTTGTTTCCCGCTTCAAATTGGATCATACTCGACACTTATTTTGGTTTTTTTGTTTGGTTTTAGGTTAGTTATTATGGGTGATGAGAATAATCTCCGGTCTCTGGTGAGGGAGATTACGAGTTCCTTGAAGGAATCAGATCAGATTGAGCTAATTGGACTGAACATGGAAGAAGAGAGTGAGGCGGTTTTCGATAGTGCTGTGGATAAGGCATGGAAGCTCCTGGATTCAGTGGATGCTTTTGTCAATTGTTATTTATATGAAGGTAAAATATTTTTTTCTAAGACGCGTTTGGCTGATGTCTAGGATTTATGTCAAATGGGATTGATAAATCTGATAAAATTTGACAAATTTAGATTTATCAAATTCAGCTGCTCTAAATTTATAATAATGTTTGGTTCAATTGAGACTAAATTAACATGAATCTATTTGATGTGTGAGATATTTTATTTCAAGATTTAATTTTTTTTGTGCACTTAGTTTGTTAAATTCATCTAAAAGTTAGATTTAGTAAGTCATCAATTTGACGAAGGGAGAAACTTTCAAATTTAGAAAATCGTCAAATTTGTTTCACTTTTTTTTTTTTTGTGAACGTTTGGGTGATTTTATGTTCACGAGTAAATCTTATTAATTCTATTCAACCAAGCACTGCCTAATAAAAAGAAGGAATCTTAACTGATGTTGGTTATATCTATTACTGTAAGGTGGACTTTTCACAGATAGTGCTTGTTATGCGCGCTAGATTTAAATGAACATTCTGGTTGGCGATTATTTAAATAGCTTACCTTTTTTTATTTAGTTTATAGTGGTTTTTTGTCTTTTTTTATTCCCTGAAAAGTAGGCTATTAACGATCTGATTTTGAGTCAATATGGCTCGAAATTGAGTGCGACTTAATTCAACTTGTGGCTCGTTATATTCGATTTCAAGCCGAGTCAGCTGAAAATTAAATCGATCTCATTCTTACTCAAAATTGAAACGAGCTGGCTCAAATTGAGCTATTTAGATTTGTTTCAGCTCATAATCGGCTCGATCCATCTCAAAATTAAAACTAACTCACTCAAATTGAGTTATTTAGATCCATTCCAGCTTGAAATCGGTTCAAAATTGACTCTTGACTCTCTACTGTTTGTATATAATCATCATTACAATTGTGGATGCAGTAACATAATATGTTTGTTGGATGTTTAGTTTTACCTGCCCGTATGGTTCTCTATCTCTTCAATTGCTGCAGATGCTCATCATTACCTGTTTTCATGGCCTTTCAGCTAGAATACAACATTATTTTATCTTATTCCTTGAGTACCTTCAGGTCTTTAGATGAAATTGCAATATTTATCTCTTTTCGTTTTCCCTTCTTTTTATTAAATTGTATGGTTCGGAATATTTTTCATGTTTCTAATGCATTAGCCATAAGTATGTCATTATATGCTCTTGACGTAGAAGATTTTAATGTTCTTTTGGCATCATAGAGCAAAGCATTTTCACTTAGTTTTGCTAGATTCCCTTCTTAAATTGAAGACTTCATTTGTACACATTGTCCTCGAATTTTCTTCTTGTTTTAATTTATTTATATGGCAATTATCATGACTTTGCCAGGTAAAATTCAAGATCCTTTGGATGTAAGTGAAAGCGAATATAAGAAGATAGTGCAGGTTAATGTGATGGCGCCATGGTTTCTACTGCAGGCTGTTGCTAAAAGAATGAGGGATGCTGGATCAGGGGGATCTATTGTATATTTGTCTACCGTTTTGGGTGCTGAAAGAGGGATGTATCGCGGAGCTGCGGCTTTTGGTTCCTGTATGGGTGCTATAAAGCAGTTGGTCCGTGTAAGTTTTATCATATGAGGTTTTCTGTTTTCATTTACAGTTTTTACTGAATGTTTTTTAGATGTTATGCCATTAAACTTTCTGTTCCTAATGTAAAATCAAACGTATGAAACTCACTTTTTTACAGGAAAATTTAAATTGCTTCAGTAGTGGCCATCCATAAAATACTCATGAGAATTTAATATATGCTCATCCAATTGGTGGTTATGGCCTATTGTTGCCGTCGCAAATTTTACAGTAGTTTGATTGTGGAGATTTAAAAGCATAATTTTACAAATACAGACTGAAAGGCTTCTCTCCCTCTTTATAGAGTAAAATCTAGAGCAACCAAAATATAAAATAAATCTCTAACTTTCTTAAATTTACCCCATATATTATGTTTTTTGAAATACCGGTAACTAATACTCTCAATCTTATAAGAGAAATTGCACGCTGAAATCCTCATTCTCGACTCTTTTCTACTTCGCAAGAATCTTGTCAATATACCGCACACAAGAGTCATAACTCAAACATAAGAGAGACCCGCACTTGGCGCGCCCACGCCACGCGTGGATGCCGGAGTGTTGTGCTCTCTGAAACCAAGCACATAACCACCCGAAATGGGGCATATTTTCAAACTTAATGTGCCCTCTCCCCATATAATAACTATAAGAAGAACGCATCCAAACGCCTATTTAATCCGGGCACAATCGACATAGGGAAGCCACTCCTTAAGAATTTAATGGCAATTTTTATGGAGAACCCAAAAGAAAATGAAATAATTGTGTAATGCTAACGCATATAAACTTAATTTCCAGTATCGATGGCCGTGAATCTTCTGATTAAAACAAAACTTAATCATTCTTCCATGGATTGATCTGATTGTTTCTATTTTGCCGCAATGCTTTGTATGCAGGTAGCTGCATTAGAGCTTGGTAAGCACAGCATACGGGTCAACGGCATTGCTCGCGGCCTCCACCTGGACGACGGCTACCCGGTGTCTGTGGGGAGGGAGAGAGCGGAGAAGATGACGGCCGATGTCATGCCTCTTGGTAGATGGCTGGATCCGCAGAAGGATCTGGCCTCCACTGTGCTTTATCTTATCAGTGATGATTCGCGCTATATGACAGGCACCACTATCTTCGTCGACGGAGCTCAATCCATGGTGCGGGCTCGGATGAGATCTTTCATCTGAAGAACGCATCGCTCAATCCGGAAGCAGCTTCGTAATGTTCTTCTCTTACTGCTACTCAATAAGGATTGGAGAAAAATATATCCGTTTAATTTGAAAATCTAACCGTTGTGGTTGTGGACTGTTGTGATCGATAGAAGGTAAAGGGGTTGAATGTCTTTACACTCTGCTTAATAATGTAATAATTTTGTGCTGTTTTATGCTCGAATGGTGAGGGAATGCAAATCTCGTGTTCTGTTATCTCATCTTCTTCTGCTCTTGTTGGTGAAATTTGCATTGGGAGCGCAAAATTTTTATTTATTTACATACCTCACACCTAAACTTATATGCTGAAGTGCTTCAGCATTTCGGTGGTCTAAATCTATGAATGAAAAGATATATTTCATTTTTTTAAAGTGGTAATAGGGCTATTATTTAAACTGTATTAAATATATAAGTGTTATGGGTATAAATATAAATGTTCCGGTGTGAGATATGAAAATGCATATGAATTGTGTGCTATATTTTCATATCTCACAAAAATATGATACCTGATCTAGCCGACATCAACATATGCACTAAAATTTACATGTTGAGGCTGAGTATGCAATAGCTCTTTTCCAAATCGCCTCTTTAATGCATCAGAATGCTAGAAATAACATCTCAATTTCTTTTTTATTTTGTAGCTTTGCATGAGTTGATTTATGACACGAGCAATACAGGAGATATTAAATCTTGTGGCAGCTAGATAAACTAAACTTTCAACTAATTTTCTTACACTAAAGTTAATATTCTTATGGTATTTCTTTATCATATATGATTTGGTTATTCACAGGAGTGTCAAAATGGTCTACAACTTAAAATCCTAATTTTTTCAAATAGATAGTGGGATTGCTTCTTTTAAATGTTGTGATTTTTTTTTTTGAAGTAAATTTAATTCAAATAAAGTATTTAGGGTGCCCTAAATTTTTCCTAAAATAATATTTAGTAAACAATATTTTTTTTATCACTCCAATTATGTAATATATCATCTAATTAAATTGCTAATAAATTAAGCAAAGTTGTGAAAACTGGACCGGACATTGAACCGGAGTTCATGGATTCAACCAGGGTCAAACTTGAAAACCAAATAATCATAAAAATATTTAGATATGATCAAAATGATACAGTCAAAATCAGAATTGTAAAATTCAAAAAATAAAAAACTAAATTATTTCATGCTTGTATCAATACCTATAGCCACGTTTATACTTGATGCCAATATACTAAAAAAATAAAATACAAATTTCCGACGCAATGTTAGTGGGTGAGCAGGACGGGGCAATTGAGGAGAAGAAATAAACTAAAAAGGTATGACATTGACATTTATGTGGGACTCTAAAGCCAAGAAGAAAATTGAGTTGTTTGCTCGGCTGGTTGGGAAATTGAAACTTTTTTACAGCTGTGACCAGCAAAACTAATGCCACAAATGCACAAAGAAAAACAGTTGCAACAACTAAAGGAGAGAGTGTGACTCCTGCTGATGCTGGTTGGGAAATTGAAACTTCTTACAGCTGTGGCCAACAAAACTAATGCTACAAATGCACAAAGAAAAACAGCTGCAACAACTAAAGGAGAGAGTGTGACTCCTGCTGACAATTCACAACTTAAATTTGAGGAGTTATCATGTCTGGTTCTCACAAATTGGAACCGGTTTGCCGGTTCTCGTACATTAGAATTGGTTTGTCAGTTCATCGGTCAAACCGGTGGTTTGAGATAATCTTGAACAGTTTGATGCAAAAACAGTTCAATTAAATATTTGGACTAGACCACTGGGCGTTTCACAATTGAACCGGCGAATTATTAAAACATTGGAATTAAGCTTGTAGTCGTATATTTGATAGTAATTAATTGATCAATCGCTTCGTCAGTTCATCGGTCAAACCGGTGGCTTGAGGTAATCTTGAACAGTTTGATGCAGAAACAGTTCAATCAAATATTTGGACTGGACCACTGGGCGTTTCACAATTGAACCGGCGAATTCTTAAAACATTGGAATTAAGCCTGTAGTCGTATATTTGATAGTAATTAATTGATCAATATTGTTACAATAGTGGCTAACTTCTGCCAGAACTTTGATTTATTTTTTGAATTAAACACATCAACTCTATCCGAGAAAATAAATGACCTTCCTAAGTAGAAATATGGATTTCTCATTCTCAACAACAAAGAGAAGAGGTTTCTTCATATATATTGTCTTATTCACATTACCACATATGAGGACATTATTAATATCCATTTGCAATATAAGCTAACTTTGATTGATGGCTACAAATTAAATTTTTTTTGTTATATAATCGAGTTTGTCAAATGGAGAGAATTTATCAAATTGTATATCCCATAGAATTGACTCAAATCTTTGATAACTAATTAATATGTGTGTTATTTAATGAAATTATCAAGATAACTTAACATTAGAAACCCATCGACAAGTTGTTGGTTTGCCCATGGCGAGCTGCAACTAATTCTTATGTTTGTTGATTATGAAAAGAATCCATCACACCGTGCATTAAGTCTTTTTTTATTTTTAATGTTGCAATCCTTCTAAATATATCCTAGGAATAGAGATGATTGAAAAGACATGAGAAAATAAAAATATGGTGGTGATAATGCTTGAATGTCATATATGAGTGAAAATGATTATAAGTCTGTTGTCGTGTATATTATTATTGTCTGATATTAATACATTGATTTAAGGCACTATAATAAAAGAGTGATGGAGAACAAAAGACGGGATGATGATATGAGGTGTTATTGGTGTAAATTGTTAATGTAATATTTTGAATGTCTTTTGTGCCATTCATTCATTGTAGATCTCATTTCTCGTGGTTGATATTATGATATTCTTATTACTATAAATGCGCTTATGGATTCCTTTTTTATTTATTTGAGATCTATTTATACTAAGAACTATGCATTTAGGATTTAATATAATAAATAGTATATTAATTAAGGGTTAATTTAGTAACCTTATTAATGTAACTAAATATATATTTCATTGTATGTGCAATATGAATTCATGTTCACCCACATTATTTGGAGAGTAAGGGTCTGTTTGGGGCAGCTGCAGCTTATTGAATAATCATTTCTCGTGGTTGATATTATGATATTCTTATTACTGTAAATGCCCTTATGGATTTCCTTTTTATTTATTTGAGATCTATTTATATTAAGAACTATGCATTTAGGATACACCTAGATAGGTGTGGTGTGAAAACATTATTTTCGGTGTTTTGAAAACGCATAAGATGCCAAAATGTAGTTTACCCAAACAAACCAGATGCGTTTTCAAAACGCCACCGCACTAAACAGACCCTAAATAAAAGACCAATAGGGTGATAATAACTAAAGAGATTATATATATAAGGTGATAATAACTAGAGAGATTATATATATATA